ACTTGATTAGTTTATTTAAATTAAAATGAGCAAAAATTTAATTTTAAAAAAGTAAATTAATTTTTAAAAAAAACAAATACATTAAATTAAAATAAAATAAGTTAATAAAATTAATTAAAAAAATAAAAATTAAAAAGAAAGAAAAAAGTAATAAATTAAGTTAAAAAATAAACTGAATCGGAAAAATTTTAAATAAGCTAAAATAAAATAAAATGACAGCACATAATATTAGACTAGACATTCTTCAAGACACTAGTGTTCAGCTTAAAGTGACATGTAAAGGCTTCACTAGGGTAATTAGGGTAAAGTTAGGGTAATTAGGCAAGTCATTGTATAACAGTGGTTTGTTCTGGAGACAATCCAACACTAATATTGCTGAAGGGAGGAATAATATTGACCTTAATTAAAATATTAGATATCAATTTGATCAATACTATTATGGTTCATAATGGCACAGGAGAGAAAAAAGACACTCAACAGTCTGAAAACGGCAGATTTAGAGTTCACAAGACTAATTTCTCATAAAATATCCTGGTGGTGGCAATTCTGTCAAGCTATTAGGTGGTATACTTGAGAAAAACTAATGTGTTTCTGCATAAGTGGCCCTGTTAAGCTTCTTCTTGAAGGAGGATTGAAGAGCTGTTTTCTCATGTGGATTCAAAACACAGAAAACTGAGCTGTCTGCGCCCTCTAGAGATCGAACAGGCAAACACAACAACATCTGCTACACAAACACATCTGTAGGTTTGTATCATACATGTATAATATAATTAATCTATTATAGATTTATGTCATATTTATAAATAAAATAAACAAATAATTAATTGAAAAAAATTATTTAAAATAAGCTAATATCAATTTATATAAATAAATATTTTGAAAATAAATTAGTTAAAATAATTAAAAAATAAATAAATTAAACTAAACTAAAATAAGCTAAAATAAAATAATGAATAAATAAAATAATGAAAAAATAAAATAAATAAATTCAATTAATTTAAAATAATCTAAACCAAATAAACTAAAAATTAATTAAAAAAATGTAAAAGTTATATAAATTTATATAAAGTAATATAAATATATTTTTTAAAAATTATTTAATTAATTAATTTAATTAAAATAAGCTATAATTAAATTTAATTGTATTAAATTTATAAATAAATTAAATATAATTAATTAAATGAACAATTAATAAAAAATATTAAATTAAATTAAAATTAATAAAGCAAAAATGGAATAAATTAAAAAATATAAAAATAAAATAAGCTAAAAAAAGAAAAATAAATTTAAAAAGAAAATAAATAAAATATTAATCAAAATAAATTAAAGATCAGCATGACCTCAAGACAATGCTAATAATTATATTCATGGAGCAGACATGCATCTGACATCCCAGCATGAATGACGCGGGAGGGAAATTGAAAATTCTATATTAATCAACACGGAGGAGAGATATAATGATCAGTGCTCGCTCTTTTAAATGTCAGGCCGTGTATAACAGCACACAGGGCAGGCGCTGCATTAATGAGTGTCAAAGCAAGACTTCTGACTTACACACACACACACACCCATAAAATCACCGTAAAACACACTGCTTTTACCAGCCACGTCACAGTGCGTTTACTCCTCAATGTCACACATATCAAGGAAAAAGGATGCACACAAAAAATAAATAGCAAAATTAAAGCTCAAAAGCAAACTAAGACTTAATATTAAGACTCAAAAGCAAACTAAGACTCAAAATTAAGGCTCAAAACCAAATTAAGACTCAATATTAAGACTCAAAACCAAATTAAGACTCAAAGTTAAGATTTAAAACCAAAATAAGACTCAACATTTACACTCTAAACCAAATTAAAACTCAAAATTAACACTATATTTTGATAAAATGTAGAAATAAATACTTAAGAAAGACCAGTGCATCAAATGTCGTCGCAGTTGTGTGCCGTCAGGTAGGAAATAAAGGTAGCATTTACACGTTTTTGCTTGAAATATCAATTTCATTAACAGATACAGTACATGGGAATGAATGGAGATAATTTTGGGTCTTCAATGTCATTCCTCCTGCTGCGGACAAATGATGTACACAAAGAAAGCATGAAGTGAGGTTATGGTTGCCTACACAGCGGTAAGTAATTGGCTTGACACTGGAAAACAAAAGCCCCATTCAAGACTGCAAATTGAATTTGGTAATGTCCATTAATGTCACTGCAGAGAGAGAGAGAGAGAGAGGAGAGAGAGAGAGAGAGAGAGAGGAGAGAGAGAGAGAGAGAGAGAGAGAGAGAGAGAGAGAGAGAGAGAGAGAGAGAGAGAGAGAGAAAATGCTCTTCAAGGTAATTACCTTCAATTTTCTGCTATTAAACTCCATCAGAATGGCTAGAGCACATTGCAGAGATTAATACACACACACACTGAGCTCTGACCTCAGACAACACACACTCTTCCTGGAAAACCCAGATTTGTTTACACACATTTACTGACATCTATGAGCTGATGAACTACACTGTAAAATTTACAGCAAAAAGACTACAGCTGTGATTGGCAGAATTTTACAGTTAAAAATACGGTTATGACTTGCAAAATATTGCTAAACTTTCCTTATTTCCTTCATTTATAGTATTATACACCAGTCTTTTGTCTTAAAAAAAAATCTGTAAAATTTACAGTGTTAAAAACAGCAGCTGTGGTTGGCAGAACTTTACCTTTAAAAACACGGTAAAAGCATTTAATTAGTTTTCTAAATGTAAAGGTAAACATTATTGTATTTCCTTCATTTATAGTTTTATACACCAGTCTTTTGTTGTAAAATAAAAAATAAAAATCTGTCAAATTTGCAGTAAAATACAGCAGCTGTGGTTGCCAGATCTGTACTGTTAAAAATACGGCAGAACATGTAAAAAAAAAAAAATGTAATTATTTGGTAGACTCAAAACCAAATTAAGACTCAAAGTTAAGACTCAAAACCAAATTAAGACTCAAAATTAAAACTCAAAACCAAAGTCTAACTCAACACACCATACCATATTTTATTAATTAATAATTTTATACACCAGTCTTTTATTGTTTAAAAGATTAGGAGCTCTGACACCCAGGAGGAGCTCGGAGTAGAGCCGCTGCTCCTCCACATCCAGAGAAGTTAGCTGAGGTGGCTCGAGCATCTGTTTTGGATGCCTTCAGGATGCCTACCTAGGGAGGTGTTCCAGGCATGTCCCACCGGGAGAAGGCCTTGGGGAAGACCCAGGACACGCTGGAGGGACTATGTCTCTCGGCTGGCCTGGGAACGCCTCAGGATCCCCCATGGAGGAGCTGGAGGAAGTGTCTGGGGAGAGGGAAGTCTGGGGTTCTCTCCTAAGACTGCTACCGCTGCGACCCGACCCCGGAAAAGCAGACGAAAATAAATAAGCAAGTTTAATATTTTATTTATTTATTTGCATTATCATCATGGAATTAGAAAATTTGTATTTTAAATTGTTCATATACATGTGTGTGTGTGTGTGTGTGTGTGTTTTTTTTCATAAGTAATGTGCATATTTTTCCATGTTGAAAATAGAAATGAGTGTGTATGGGTGTTTCCCAAGACTAGGTTGCAGCTGGAAAGGCATCCCCTGCATAAAGCTTATGCTGGAATAGTTGGTGGTTCATTCCGCTGTGGCGACCTCTGATAAATCCAATAGTATCTGGTCTGGATGCAACCTTTATAATGCAAGCTGAGATTGCATCTCTCAGCAATGCAATGTCAGACACAATGCACTCAATGGAGTGTGTGACGTCACTGTGACGGGTAGGGTTAGGGGTGGGGTTAGGTGAGCGCATTAAAAAGCATTAGATGCAGCTCAGATTGCACTGCAGCAGGTCTGCATCCAGACTCCTCTCGATAAATCAGAGATTACACCCAAGGAAAGTGAATGAATGGATGAAAATAGAAATCGTTTCACATACGGCCGACAGGTGGCGCCTTTGAATCGTTTCATTGAAGATGGTTTGAATCACTGTATTTATTTATTTATTTATTACGAACTGAATTCTTGTGAGACGTCTCTCCACATGTTTAACCAACTTTAAAAGTTCTAAAAAAACTAATATATCTTAAAAATGTTTATTACAAATAAAACAAACAAAAAAATACTTCTTGGCACAGTGGGTAGCACGATCGCTTCACAGCAAGAAGGTCGCTGGTTCAAATCCCGGCTGGGTCACTTGGCATTTCTGTGTGGAGTTTGCATGTTCTCCCCGTGTTGGCGTGGGTTTCCTCCGGGTGCTCAGATCCAAACACATTAGACTAAATTGGCCATAGTGTATGTGTGTGAATGAGTGTGTATGGATGTTTCTCAGTACTGGGTTGCAGCTAGAAGGGCATCAGTTGCGTAAAACATGCTGGATAAGTTGACGGTTCACTCCACTGTGGCAACCAGAGATTAATAAATGAACTAAGCTGAAAAGGAATGAATGAATGAACTGGTAATTCACATTCAAAACATGGTAACTAAACTTTTACTTTACTTTGAAAATAAGTTATGCAAGAAAACATTCCCAGATAAAATAATTTAAGCAGTATTAAATAAAAATGGAATAATTTCAGTTTAATTAGACAATAAATATCTAAATATCATCAGAAAATATGTTTTTTTCTTCCTTTTGCCTATATTTAAGTAATCGATTATTGTGTTTTAACAAGCTAAACTGATGTAAGAGCAGTGTAATCTTTTGTTATGTATGACACAATAGTTATAACTCAAAGTTGCGCGGTGGTTGCAGCATACCTGAATCATGAATATTCATGAAGTAATCAAATTACGAAAATACTTCCTTCTTCCTTTATTTTACTGTGAACTGCTCACTTCCTTTCTGTTTAATTCCACTGTATTATGTTCAATTCTTTACATACAATATGTCCAAGTTTAACATTATACAAAAATAAAATCAAACAATAAGAAAATATTTATTATTTTGCTTTACCGTGAGGAACAAAAAGTTAGCATGCTGACGCACTTCCGCGAACTCAAACCGGGCCGGATGTCGAGTTGTTGTTGTTGTTGTGGGGGTTGAGCTCTGGCTCCGCCGGCTCTGGCTCGTATAAATAATGATATTTGACCGTATTTCGATGTGTTGATGTCGGTGTGGAGCAGGCGAGAGCACAGCTGATGGAGTAGGACAGACGGAGGAGTTCATCCCTTAGTTTTTACTGGTTTTAGGGCTTTATCAGGATGGAGACCCGGGTGTCGGAGCTCTTCGGATCGGCCGCCTCACAGAAGTGCGCCTCTCCGGCAGCCGGTGCCAGAAAAACCGCCAAAAATGGCAGCAAAAAGTACAAAAATCGGTCTGGCCGGTATCCAAAAGCAAGCAATAATCCGCCTTATCTACCTCCAGAGGTGAGAGCTCCAACAATTAAACACATCTGATGTTTTAATCTGGCTGTGCTTTCTTTTTCCTGCTTTTGACATGTTTTAGTTACTCTCGGAATCTCTTAAGTATTGCTGTATTTTAGGTTTTGTTAGACTATAACGTTAATATAGTCATTATATAATGTCAATATGTTATTTATGATATTAAGATATGTTAAGGTAACTACTGTTGAATGTGCTAGTAAATATAAACTCGATAAAATTAGCTTGATAACAAACGTAACGTATATTATTGTCAAATTGTGACAATTTTATTCTATAAAACATATTAAGCATGAGCTGAATAATATAAAATTCAATATAAAAACACTGTTATAGCATATTATTTAAACTAAAGGCAAAATAATTTACAATATTGTGGTCACACTTCACAGTAAGGTTCTGTTAGTTCAGTTTAGTTTATACATTTACTAAACATGAACAAACAATAAACAATACATTAACTACAGTGTCTATTAATCTTTGTTAATGTAAGGAAAGGTTGCACTATGATTAACAAATGCTGTATAATAATATTGTTCATTTTTCACGTTGGTAAATAACAAATGAATGAACATTACATTAGAAACAACAAGAACCTTATTGTAAAAATGTGACCCGTTTAATGTATATAACTAATATTAATAAATGCTTTACAAGTGTTATCGTTTTTTTTGGTTTGTGTTAATAAATACTTTGATGAAAACGTGACCCTTTTAATGTGTGCTGCTATTGTATAATGTACACTGTCAAGATTGCTGGGTTACACACAATTTCTGCATGTTGTCGCAATACAAATCGCTTGTTAACTCAATAGTTTTTACAAGCTTAAGTGGATTGAACATAAAACTATTAAGTTGTCCTACAAAATGCTTAAGAACTTTGTTGTTTCAGCCTATTTTAAATAAGTAGTTTGAACAAGCAGCTAAAGTCATTTTTTTGAGTCTATAAGGTTAAGCTCTATAGTAGTATTTTTGCATTTTTGTTTCTAAGTATAGCATAGTTTGTCCATTATTGTAAGCTCATAATAATAATGTGTTACATGAGAATTTTAAATTATATTTATGGTTTTCACTTCATTGTTTGTTTCATTGTCAGATTCATTGTCAGATGAGAGAAAGGCAATAGAAATGTAATGCAAGGTGCTTTTCCGTAGCTGTGACAAAGTTTGCTGTTGTCTGGCTGTCATTGGATAGTGACACACTACAGCGGCTGTGTTTGTGGATATCTAAAATAAGGCGAGAAGAGATGATGACGAGCAGCTGATTCAGTCTGACACTCCAGTGCAGATCAAACAGATGATTATTACAATAATAGGTTGAAATATTATGGATGAAATGTGTGTGTTTATGCTTACATTTGGTCAATAAATGCACAAAAATGACTCTATATAACTAGAAATAGCATATTATATTCAAGTAAAGTGCTTTGAGGGGATAAGATGTCTAATATGGGTGAAATAATTTTTTATGGTCATTAAGTGTAATTATAGTTATGTTAAAAAAAGTCAAATGCATAATTATTCTGAAATGTGCTTGTTAATAAATTATATATATATATATATATATATATATATATATATATATATATATATATATATATATATATATATATATATATATAATTATAGTGATTATACTAAATTTAATCCTATTTTCAAGTTGTCAAATAAGTAAAACATAATGGTTTCGAGATATTTGAGTATTTTTGTTAAATAGTTTCCTATCACATATTTATTTGTTTGATGCTTGACAACATCTTAGACCCATGCACAATTAAATTATGACTTTTAAGACTGGACTCACTTTGCCGTATATAACATAAGGATAAAAGTCAGTGCATTGTGTCTAAGCTGAAATGAAGGATATAATAGCAAGATGTGTTCAGGAGGAGATTAGTCAACAAATGCATTGACTTTGTTGTCATCTGTCAGTGTGACTCTTTTCTTTGTGCTTTTGAATGCTGAACTGTGTGACGTTTGAGCTCTATTCAGCTTTAAAGGGGACCTATTCTGCCTCTTTTTACAAGATCTAAAATAAGTCTGTAGAGTGTAGTGATGTTTAGCTTAAAGTACCACACTAGTAATGTGTATAACTCTCTGAAACTGACCCTTTTAAGCTTTGATCCTAATTGTGTGGTGTTTTGGTGACTGTCGCTTTAAATTTAAATGAGGTTGTGCTCTTTTCAGAAAAGGGCGGAGCTAAGAATGCCTGTGTGTCAGCAGAGTGGCAGATTCAAAAACAAAACTAATGTCTTATGCTAATGAGGGAGACTAGTGCGTGTTTCTTAGTGGTCATAGTCGGAGCGCAGTGAATGGAAGAGTACAACCAATCCTTTACAATCCTATTTGCTGAAATAACAAGAGAAAAACTCCAGGATAGTGTTAGCAAGACTTTCAGAAATAGGAAAGAGGCTTTTTTAATGTAAGGAAAGTCTGATTATAATAAATGCAATTCCATCATCTTTACCATTAGAGGCTGGAGATATTCACACACTGCTGACACACGACTGGGGTTAAACCCCTTATAAAAGTGATTTTTGCATAATAGGTGCCCTTTAACTCCTCTATATACTCACAATATGTCCTCTCTTTTGTTTCAGGTTGAAGAGGGAAACATTGAGTACAAGGTAAACTAGCAGCTCCACATATTCAGATTTCATCATCATGGTTTTTTGTTGAAAAAATTGTGAAAAAACAGATGAAATGACCAGCTTTATCCATCATGGAGCCTTTTCACAAGCCTGCTATGACGTGCTTAACGCTAATCAGCATCTCAAATCCTTGAATATTTTAAATATTTAGATTTTTTTTTTTTAAACATGAACATTTATGTGTATTTATGTAAGTATGATATCATCTTTGCATCAACATGCACAAAGCGAATTCCCTCTTGTGTGAGGTGTGTGTGATGCACTCTGTAATGGGGCAGGACAGTAAATCTGACACCGTTATCATCACACTATTGTTTTCCTCTTTCTGAAAGTCTTGCTAACACCATCCTGGAGTTTTTCTCTTGTTATTTCAGCAAATAGGATTGTAAAGGATTGGTTGTACTCTTCCATTCCCTGCGCTCCGACTATGACCACTAAGAAACACGCATGTGTGAAAAGGCTCCATTAGATTGTCGTTTCTCCCACTGACTCTGGTGCAGCTGGTGTGATTGTCTCTGTCGTTGTGTTTAGTGTAGAGTGTGTTGTGTTTCAGCTGAAGCTGGTGAACCCCACGCAGTACCGCTTCGAGCATCTGGCCACGCAGATGAAGTGGCGGCTGCAGGAGGGCCGAGGGGAAGCTGTGTATCAGATCGGGGTTGAGGACAACGGCCTGCTGGTGGGCCTGACGGAGGACGACATGAAGGCCTCGCTCAGAACACTGCGCAGGATGGCTGAGAAGTACGAACACACACCAATTCATTCATTTTCTTTTTGGCTTAATCCCTTTATTAATCTGGAGTCGCCACAGGGGAATGAACCGCCAACTTATCCAGCATATGTTTTACACAGCGAATGCTCTTTCAGCTGCAAACAATCACCAATTGAGTTTGTCTTTGGACTGTAAGGGAAACCGGAGCACCTGTGAAGAACATGCAAACTCCACACAGAAACGGCAACTGACCCAGCCGGGACTCGAACCAACGATCTTCTTGCTGTGAGGCAACAGTGCTAACCACTGAGCCACCATGTCACCATCCCATATCATACCTGACTATAAAAATATCTAAACATTATTTACAGCTTTACTTTCAGTTCACAGCATCAGCAAACCACAGTCCTGAACGCATGCATCCCATATCATACCTGACCTTAATACTGTTTTTAATGCAGATAATATTCACTTAAGTTTGTTGAAACTTTATATTCAGTTGCAGTTTATTTATATCTTTATTAAAGCATGTGTTGTGTTCAGGGTGGGTGCAGAAATCACAGTTCTCAGAGAGCGCGATGTGGATTATGACACAGAGGAGCCACACAGAATAGCTGAAGTCCTCGTCAGGAAAGTGCCGGATGATCAGCAGGTAAATGTGTATCGGCATCCGTATTCTCTAAACAGGGCTCGAAATGAACCTTTTTGCTTGGTAGCACCGGAGCTCCTAACATTAAAAATGTAGGCGCATCAGGCAAAATTTAGTCGCACCCACTAATTACAAGCACCGTTACTTCAAGTTTTATACAAACAGATATATTGCATTTGACATCAACAGTAAACAAACTAACAAGCAAAAAAAATATATATATATGCAAGCGTAAGGAAAATATGTCTCAACGAAATCCCGTTATCACAAGAAAATAGATTTTTATAACAGAACTGAGTGAGCAAAAGACACACAGAGCGCTCACCGGCCCTGCACACACTGCTGGACATGAATGAGTCTGTTAAGGGTATAACTGTGCTGTTCTCACGGGTGCTGTCTGATATTGCACTGATGCTTTTGACATATACTGTACCTTATTATATGCGTACGTCATGTTAATAGCAATACTTTTCATGAGTAGCGATATAAGTTTACTCAGTGTAAGCCCGTTTGCGATGGTGTATGTGGTGTTAAATTTGACATATATCTGCCACTTGCACGACGGACAGCATCTGGCGATTATATGAAGGATTAAACAGAAGCTTTCCTGCTAGATGTGGCAAACAGTTACCTGCAAACTCCATCCCACAGACTTTTCATAGCGGACTTGAAGCCAACGGAAGTCTTTTATCCACTCTTGGAAAATTGTAGGTGGTGGACTAACATTCTGCACAACTTTAGATGGTTTTTAAAACAAAATCTGTCAGTGTTATCTTCATTCTCATCTTCAGCGCTTGACAATGTTTCGCGGTAGCAGCTCTCTCTGTCATCCCAAGCCAGAAGGCATTGACTGAGTGATTGACAGCTGATATTTCAGTGCTAGAGCAGTGGGCCAATAAGAAGAGCGTGAAGGCGGGGCAAGCATTATGGACTTGGCTTTGTTTACTGCAGCAAGTTGACATGACAACTGTTCCTGAGCGCTGCTTTTCAAGTGCAGAGATGCATTCTGCGTGAATGTCTCCCGAATCCGAGCATGTGGTGAACATTTTGCAGTAAAAACTGTTCGCACACAACAATTTCATGCACACGCAAAAATGCTCCCAAATATGTTTTGAGGTCGCATAGATAAAATTTCGGGCGCATATGTGACAAAAATGGTCGCAATTTCGAGCCCTGCTAAACATTTGATCTTATTACTAAGAATTCATCTGAATAGCTGTAAACATTTTTACCTGAGAGACAAGCTTTTAAATACTTGTAAAAAACACTTTGATAAATATGAAACCAGACACATATTAAGCTTTCAAATGAGACAGTTGAAGTCAGAATTATTCGCCCTCCTGTTTATTTTTTCCCCAATTTCTGTTTAACGGTGAGCAGATTATCATGAACACATTTCTAATCATAATAGTGTTAATAACTCATCTCTAATAACTGATTTATTTTCTCTTTGAAATGATGACAGTAAATAATATTAGACCAGATATTCATCAAGATAATTCTATACAGCTTAAAGTGACATGTAAAGACTTCACTAGGGTAATTAGGTTAACTAGGCAGACTAGGGTAATTAGGCAAGTTATTATATAATGATGGTTTGTTCTGTAGACTATCAGGTGAAAAAATTGTTTAAAGGGGCTAATAATATTGACCTTAAAATGGTGTTTAAAAAATTCAAAGCTGCTTTTATTCCAGCCGAAATAAAGCAAATAAGACTTTCTCCAGAAGAAAAAATATTATCTGACATACTGTGAAAATTTCCTGAATCTTTTAAACATCATTTGTGAAATATTTTAAAAAGTAATTAAAATTAAAAGGGGGGGGAATAATTCTGACATCAACTGTGTATAGATATTCACGATTGCTTTGTTATGGTTTTAAAAATGTAACCGTAGATGATAGCACAGGGTGACAGTAAATGTGTTCAATAGGGATGTAACGGTATTGTAAATACCGTCATACCGCAATATTAATTTTTTTCGATAGTACCGTAGTCGCATGACTCGGTAAAACTATAGGTCTTCTGAGAAAATTTGCTCAGGCGAATGAAGCGAACGGGAGGTAGCGAAAACTACAATTCCCATCAGCCCAGGGGTGGCCATCATCCTTTGCGGTCTGTTGTCGCTACAGATACAGTAATGCGGAAATGGAGTGTGCTGCTAGAAGCGGGCATCAAAAAGAGCTGGAAATGATCGAACCTGAAGCGGGTGTTGTCGCCGCACGCGTACTGAATAGCTGTGTTGTCGCGCGCGTTCTGATCAGCTGTGTTGTCGCGCGTTCTGATCAGCTGTGTTGCCGCGCGCGTTCTGATCAGTTGTGTTGCCGCGCGCGTTCTGATCAGTTGTGTTGCCGCGCGCGTACTGATGAGCTGTGTTGCCGCGCGCGTACTGATGAGCTGTGTTGTTGCGCGCGTACTGTAAAGCGGGGAGGGGGGGGGTTGAGCGCGCATACTCAAGAGCGGTGTTGTCGCTCGCCTACTGAAGGGCGGGACGGAGGGTGTGACACAGCACACTGTTCAGATTGATACAGACATGAGACCTCTATCTCACTCATGGCTTGTCCAGTCAAGTGGGGGAAAGACAATGCACAACGTTACCCACTGCTGTCCCAGATATCTCAGTCCCAAATGAGAGGGTTTTTTTTCTGTTGCAGGGGACATTGTAAATGCCCAGAGATACAAGCTTTTACCAGATTATATTTATATGATAATTTTCCTTAAAACCCATAAGTGAGTGAGTGAGTGAGTGATTAAATGTTGAATGTGATGAGTTTTCAACAATACTAAATTGAAACTTTATTTTTTTACATGGTTTAATAATTTTTTGTTATTAAAATTGAAGTTCCTGTTTCAAAGCTTACAGATAGATGGCTAATTTGTATGTCATTGACACTTTTGGCACTTTTTTGGAGTATTTTCATAAGTTTTGTTTTTTCCTGTAAATGATTCAATAAATACCGTACCGTGACATTCATACCGAGGTATTACCGTACCGTGAAATTCTGATACCGTTACATCCCTAGTGTTCAATCTATTACTCTTCCTACGTAACACAACACAGGGGTGAAAGATGTATTCAGAAGTCTTAGACCTTTTCCAATCACATACAGTTCATCATTAGATTACAATTTAATGGCAAAAAGGGATGTAAAATTCCTGGTGGCAGGAGTGTGGCAGTTAGGGGTATCCTGATATGTTGATCTCAATGCTGTTATTGTGTGTGTGTGTGTGTGTGTGTGCAGTTCCTGGACCTGCGGGTGGCTGTTCTAGGTAATGTGGACTCTGGTAAATCCACTCTGCTGGGTGTCCTGACACAGGGAGAGCTGGACAACGGCCGAGGGAGAGCGAGACTTAACCTCTTCAGACACCTCCATGAGATTCAGACCGGACGCACCTCCAGCATCAGCATCGAGATCTTGGGCTTTGACAGTAAAGGAGAGGTGAGTTTCCCATCCATCAGACTCTAGATCAGATTTTGTGCCCGTCCATCAGAGCTGGGTTGTAAGAGATTATTGACCTTATTCTTCACTTATGAGCGGATGCAGCAATTGTAATCTTTTTGGACGAATAAATAAATAATCTGACAATATTCTCTCTTCCGTCTGCCGTTATCAGTCTAACACTATTCTCCTCTTTCTGAATGTCTTGATAACACCAATCCTGGATTATTCCAGCAAATAGGATTGTAAAATAATAGTTTGCTGTAATCTGCCATTCACTGCGCTCTGAGTTCACCAAATATTGACCACTTCTGCTGCTGAGCAACATGCTAATGTGAAAAGGCTTCATAGCAGTAAGACTTGTCCCTATGTGCATGCAAAGCAGTGTCTGTGACGTTCCTGCAGGTGGTGAACTACAGCGAGTCCCGAACTGCAGAGGAAATCTGCGAGAGCGCCTCAAAGATGATCACCTTCATAGACCTAGCCGGACACCACAAATACCTGAAGACCACCATCTTTGGCCTGACCAGCTACTGTCCAGACTTCGCCATGCTGGTGGTCAGCGCGAACACAGGCATCGGTGAGTGTGTACAGTGCAGCGCTGCGACAAAACAAACTGAATCACTGATGCATCACCATTCTGAACTGGTTCCCAAAAGCTCCCAATCGATTCTTTGAGCACACTTATTTGTTTAAACTGTGCTTTTCGACCTGTGAGCCGCAGTGCATTGATGAAACTGCTGTGTTATAGGTTAAAAACAAACCTGAAAATGAGCAGTTCTAGTAATAATCTCCCAGAATCAGAATAGGATTGTATTGCGAAGTCCCTAACATTTGAAGTTGCATAATAATGTAAATTAATATCCAGTTAAACTCCGGGTCCGTGACGTCATCGACTTTCACTTTCAGATTTAAAGGGCTAGCATTGCACCAGACCCCCTTAAGTGGTTTTGTTTGAAAGTGTAGAGTCTATATTTTATGCTCATATGCATCACTTTGCTTTTTATTCTACTGTACAAAAGTTATTTACACTTAAATACACAGTATTTTGGAGACCCGAGCTGGGTTTTGAACATTGGTTCATTTTCATATTTTTCATACGACACATGTACAAGTTATAGCTTAAATGAAAGCTCTTGCCGGTGCTCATACGGTTCTAACGTTCATTTTACTGAATTATATTCACATATCAAACAGTTGTCGAATGAATCGTGGTGTTTCCATGGCGCAGAAGTGAAAACAATACATTCATGATCAATAAGCAGCCCCAGATAGCACAGACAGCTGTCATCTCTTACCTTATGCTGTGCGCTTCAGGACCATTCTCCTCTGTTTTTGAGCTGATGTGCAAAAGTAATGCTTTTACATGTCTGACGTGCTCCAAACACAGTGAATTATGTTTGATCAAACTAAAGAATAGTGAAATATGAAAGCAATGATCGCTCCTGTGGCTTGTACAGCACCTCTCATCAGTTATAATACAATAACTTCTGCATAGATTATGGTGGAGACATTTTTCTTTTTTCCTATGATTACAGACATGTGCAGGAACCACCAACATTAATTACAGCACGCGAGACCACACACAACCTAAACGGTTCACTTTCATATTTGAGTTTATAAAAAATATATACAAAAAGCGCCTCTTTTTTTAGGTGTTTATTATAACACAGGCAACACATACAGTTATTTTAAACAATTTCAGTAGTGTTTTATAAAACTTCAAAGAGTTTTCTTTAAAATGATACCAAATTTTTGCATTTACACCTCTGGATGTGGATTTGGGCAAAATCCAGGCGGAAATCCCAAAATAACTGCAGAGTTTAACTGGTTGAAGGGGGCTTTAAATCACTTTGATAAGGAGTTTCTCCCCAGTTGTGTGTCAGCAGTGTGTGAATATCTCCAGCCTCTAATGCTCAACATAAATGAATTGTGTTTGTTCTAATCAGACTTGATGCAAAATCACTTTGATTGACATTCTCCCTTTGTACGTGTCATCACAGGGGGAAAGCCCCGCCCACTAGTGCCCATCTCTCCATCTCATTAGCATAAACAGCAGCCCTGAGTGAGAAGCAGCCGTCTGTCCATTAGCCATTAGAGCGTAAAGATAGTGTCAGCATAGACTAGGAGGATTATAGATGTGGAGTTTTAGATGAACAGCGACAGGAGCCACATAGAGATTCTCACACACTCACACTGACAACATGCAGACCTGATGCACACTGATAACGAAAGTCCTGCTTTACACAAGATGCACCGGCGTCTGTAGCTCCCCTTTACCCTAGATAGATCTCTGATAAATGTCAAATCACACAGGGCGAGTGACACAGATAAACCTGCTAATGTTTGGACACGTCTGTCTGTGCTCTTCTCTGGCACGGAGGCGTAAATCAGCTGGAAACTTAATAATCCTGCCGTATGATGTTATGTTATGTAACAGAGCAGGACTCTTAAGTGTCGTCCTCATTCCTGCAGTCAAGTCCCAAAATACACCAGTACAGCTGATCAGATCTGATCCAGCACCAGCGGAGAGAGAAACCCGAGCCAGGAACTATGTTTCTATGTACTCTGCTCTGTTTTCTGTGTCAAGAGTGGATGAAGATGAGTGGATGAAGATGACCCAACAGTGCATAAGGGTTAAAAATACCTGCTACCGTACCCAGTTTGATATGCAGAGACAGCTGTAAATAAGGCATCTGCAGGTTAAAGGGGTTGTTCACCCACAAATACAACATTTTGTATTGATTTACTCAGATGTAGGTGCTTTTCTGTCTTCAGTAGAACATTAAAGCAGATTTTGAGCTGAATTTGGTGATTCTTATGATAGCAGTGAATGGTGACAGGGTTTTTAGAGCAGGGGTTCCCAAACTTTTCAGCCTGTGACCCCCTGAAGCGACTCTCACTATCCTCTGCATGCACACCAACAGTCCCAAGTCTGTTCTTGGTGTCATTTTGGAGATCGCCACTCGGAGATCATCCTCCACATTCAGTCGTGGCCTGTATTTATTTTTAATGTGCATGGGTGCTGTAAAGGTGTCAGACAGTTCAACCTGGTGGCATAAAAATCAATCTGCTGCATCTGACGCTGTTGCTGTGCCTTTAATATAACATGTAAACAACCCAGAGGGCGCAAACCAATGGGGGAAAATCTGGGTTTTATTTGCATATTGTTTTTTTTTTTTTTGTAACTATTATATTATCATCATCTGTAGGTTTTGGATAAAATATGATAATTAAAAAATTAATATTTATTAATAAAAATAATTAATATAAATTATATATAATTAATATAATTAAATTAATAAAACATTCAGAAACACACTTTACAAAAATATTCTGCTATTTCTGACTCTAATAAGCGGCGAAATAGTAGTTTATTAAGCTAAAATCTAAGTTAATGGTTTGTTAATAGCATGGATTTTACATTAAAATAAAGTGTGGCCAAAACAAACCTGTACAGTTGAAAACCAAATGATAGTATAGTGTGTGTGTGTGTGTGTGTGTGTGTGTGTGTGTGTGTGTGTGTGTGTGTGTGTGCTCGCAGTGGGATCTGTCGTGAGGGTGAGCAGCTGGTTGTCGGGCCCACAGCTGATGGTCAGTTTGTGGAGCTGTCGGTCTGCAGTATCCAGAGGAACCGCTCCGGCTGCCGGGTGCTCAGAGCAGGACAGGCCGCTACGCTGGCGCTCGGAGACTTCGACCGCTCGCTCATACGAAAGGTGAACAGCTTTTCTTGATCAACTGCATCATTCCCCATTCACACTGTGAGCAACACAGCATTTGGCTCACTCTATTCTGGCTGTGTGTTTCAGGGAATGGTGATGGTCAGTCCTGAGATGAACCCCAGCATCTGCTGGCGCTTCGAGGCCGAGATCGTCTTACTGTTTCACGCTAAAACCTTCCACAAGGGCTTCCAGGTGACCGTTCATGTGGGAAACGTGCGGCAGACGGCCACCGTGGAGGCTCTGCAGGGAAAGGTAAACCTGTCTGCTGTCTTATATTCACACGTTCAGACGTTCACCTTCTCAATATCATGTCAGAAAAGTGTTATTTGCAAACTCTGAATAGGGAAATCATATTATCAGCCAGTAACTGTCAGTACAGCAGTGTTTACAGTCAGTAAATAGTGCTGATGTTGTTTTGGACACATACTTGCATGCAGTTTCACACCCAATATTGAAAATAGTGGTTAACAATATAGAGAGCGTGTCAGGAGTCACACTGAATAATGTGCAAATATAAAAGCCTATATATAATATTGTTTATTTTACTTTAATGTGGTATTTTGTATTTGTAAACATGTAGACTCAAAGGCCAGATCATTAGAGAGAAAGACAGTTTGAAAATTAATGTTAAAGTAAACAATAAAGTGGACGCTTGTCTAATGTGTGTGTGTGTCTCTCTCTCTCCCTCTCTCACTCGCTCTGTCAGGATGAGCTGCGCACCGGGGAGAAAGCGGTGGTCCTCTTCAGGTTCATCAAACACCCAGAGTACCTCAAGGTGGGGGCAAAGCTGCTGTTCAGAGAGGGGGTCACTAAAGGCATCGGTCAGGTGACCAAACTGCAGCCCGCCGCGCTGGACCAGCAGCACTGAGGAGGTTACCATAGCAACAACATCCAACACTGATGCCTTCTTCACAGCACTGAGGAGGTTACCATAGCAACAACATCCAACACTGATGCCTTCTTCACAGCACTGAGAAGGTTACCATAGCAACAACATCCAACACTGATGCCTTCTTCACAGCACTGAGGCGGTTACCATAACAACATACAACACTGCCTTTATAGCACTGAGGAGGTTACCATAGCAACAACATCCAACACTGATGCCTTCTTCACAGCACTGAGGAGGTTACCATAGCAACAACATCCAACACTGATGCCTTCTTCACAGCACTGAGGAGGTTACCATAGCAACAACATCCAACACTGATGCCTTCTTCACAGCAGTGAGGCGGTTACCATAGCAACAACATCCAACACTGATGCCTTCTTTACAGCACTGAGGAGGTTACCATAGCAACAACATCCAACACTGATGCCTTCACAGCACTGAGGAGGTTACCATGATAACAACATCCAACATTATTGCCTTCACAGCACTGGACCAACAGCTCTGAATCTGTTACCACGGCGACAACATCCAGCACTGATGCCCTCCTCTGCACTGCTGGACCAGCAGCTCTAAGATGGATACGATAGTGACAACATCCAACGCTAATGCCTTCCTCAGCATCTCTAAATCAGTTACCAAGGCAACAACATCCAACACTGATGCCTTTCTCACAGTGCTGGACTAGCAGCTTTGAGGCGGTTACCATGGCGACAACACCCAACACTGATGCCTTCCTCAGCAGCTCTGAATCTGTTACCATGGCGACAACACCCAACATTGATGGCTTCTTCACAGTTCTGGACCTGCAGCTCTGAGGCGGTTACCATGGCGACTAAATCCAACACTGATACCCTCCTCACAGTGCTGGACCAACAGCTCTGAGGCGGTTATCATGGCGTCAACATCTAACACTGATGACTTTCTCAGCAGCTCTGAATCAGTTACCATGGCGACAACACCCAACACTGATGGCTTCCTCACAGCACTGGACCAGCTGCACGGAGGCAGTTACCATGGCAACAACATCCAACACTGATGCCCTCCTAACAGTGCTGGACCAGCAGCACTGAGGCTGTTACCATGACGATAACATCCAGCACTGATGCCCTCCTCACAGTGCTGGACCAGCAGCACTGAGGCTGTTACCATGACGATAACATCCAGCACTGATGACTTCCTCAGCATCTCTGAATCAGTTACCTCTGCCCTGCTGGACCAGCAGCTCTGCTGGATGTTGTTGCCATAGTATCCAGCTCACTGATGCCCTCCTCAGCACTGGACCAGCAGCTCTGAATCAGTGACCATGGTGACAACATCCCAACACTGATGCCTTCCTCACAGCGCTGGACCAGCAGCAGCTGACACACACCATACAAATACCATTCAACACACAGATGCCTTCCTCTATCAAGTTCTACTCAGAGCGACTGCCTCACACACACACACACTGATGCTTTTAATAGCGTTTATCAAACGCTTCACACACAGCTCTTGTGTTTTGGCGAGTGATGCCTCTGCTTCTGTTATCCTGATTCATTTTAAGAACGTTTTTAAAGCTCTCTAATGCTCTCTCACTAATAATCAACACAAGAGGCCATCGCCAAGTGCTTCAGTTCACACTCAATATTACACACACACACACATCATCAATGTTTTGTTAATCAGGGGTTTTTATACATAAGCAAAGGCCTGAGATTGTGTGTCTGAGATGTTCTGCCAAAGATTGATGTGCGTCAGGATGGTGTGTGTCCGTTTACACACTCATCTGCTGACCTCGACTCAGCTTTAACTCTCTTCTTACAGTCCGGTCGTCTTAAAGTGCTCTTCTCACTGCCTTTTCTCTCTCTCAGGTAGTTTGTGTGATGGGGATTATGCGAGGGCATGGCTAGTTTCTGTTCGCTGGTGTTTCTCTGCGTGTCTGAACTCTGGGTTTGGTGCTGGAGCTCTTTCATTGTTTTGTTCATTCAGTCTTTCCAGAATTACGTATGCATGTTCTTCATCAGGTGTGTGTGTGTGTGTGTCACTTTTCTGAGCATCACCGGTGCAATTTTAGACTAATAGACAAGAAAAGATGATGTATTTGAACCAAAAAAGCAGATTTATTAGGAATGTTGTAGTTAAAAAAGGTTTTAGTTGGTTGGATTTGGGATTATTTTTATTGAGAGCGTTTTCCAGTGACTTCTTTTACACCCAGTGTCACGATACTGCTTCTGTTGTTGATATTTTTAAGATATTTTAGCCTCTTTTTGGTGAATTGGAGTATTTATGTACAGGTTTGTTTTGTATATTGTGATGTACATAAATAAAGGTTTATTATAGTTTACAATTACACAAGCTTCCTTTATAGTTCATTTTCTGGCTCTAGAAGGCTGTTTTCTCTTTAAACTGATCGATAATGCAATTCAAGTTTATTTGTGTAGCGATCTTAACAGCAAAGCAGCTTTACAGACGGTGCACAATATAGCATTGCACTCACCGGCCACTTTATTAGGTACACTTACTAGTACCAGGTTGGACCCCTTTTGCCTTCACAACTGCCTTAATCCTTCGTGGCAGAGATTCAACAAGCTACTGGAAATATTCCTCAGAGATTTTGCTCCATATTGACATGATAGCATCACACTGATTTGTCGGCTGCACATGCATCCAAAGACATGCGGTACAGGTGAATTAGGCAGGCTAAATTGTCCGTAGTATATGAGTGTGTGTGTGGATGTTTCCCAGAGATAGGTTGCAGCTGGAAGGGCATCCGCTGCGTAAAAAACGTGCTGGATAAGTTGGCGGTTCATTCCACTGTGGCGACCCAGGATTAACAAAGGGACTAAGCCGACAAGAAAATGAATGAACGAATGAAAATATTCATATGATTTATTTATAATACAGCTTCTAAAGTAATATTTTCTGTCTTTTAGTAGAGATATTATATAAGAAACTTACTTTATTTACCAAATAAAGTGCATCTAATTGGATTTGCATTGTAAACATTAAATACAAGTTAAAAATGTATTCCTTTTTAGTTCATATATTAAAGTTTTATAACAAATAACACGTTATTTCACATAATCCCACAGATTTTAAACATAATTCTGCGCAGAAATGACATCATTATCCTGCAATTTTATAGCATATAGGTATAGCCAGACAGAAGCTGCAGATTTATTTTTTATTTTTTGCTATTTCTGCGCAGAATATTGTGAAAACACGTATCATAACTAAAAACTTAATATGTTAAATAAAAAATAATACCTTTAATTTAAATTATGTTTAAATACGGTTGGTTCAGTGGTTTATTCCCTTCATTAATCAGGGGTCGCCACAGTGAAATGAATCACCAACTTATCCAGCGTATGTTTTACGCACTGGATGCCCTTTCAGCCGCAACCCAGTACTGGGAAACACCCATACACACTCAAACACTACAGCCAATTTAGTTCATCAGTTCACCTATAGCGCATGTGTTTGGACTGTGGGGGAAACCGGAGCAACAGGAGGAAACCCACACCAACGCGGGGAGAACATGCAAACTCCACACAGAAACACCAACTGACCCAGCCAGAACTCGAACCAGCGGCCTTCTTGCTGTGAGGTGACAGTGCTAACCACTGTGCTGCCCTAAAAAGACCATATTATGACTGTGTCGCTTGTCGGGTCCATGTTAAGTAGCAAAATTAAACATTTATTCACATCTTAGATTTCCAATTAGTTTTAAAATGTAAATTACACACTATGCTATCGATTATGAATTACTACCGGACTTTTTCATGTGTTCTTTCATTGTGAAATATATATATACATTATAGAAGTTACATGTTTTCTTGTTCTCAGAAAAGAAAAATCAGATCAAATTATTTCTACTTGATTTAAGTTTTATTTGGATGTTTTCAGTGTTCAGACACTTTCTGTTTCACGAAGCTCATCCATGTTTTGCTGCATATCAGAACTGAACTCAAAATCTCTTTTGATTTTCATATTTATACTGCAAACAGGAGTTCCTACTCATGTTTCCCTCATAGGAAGTGTTCGGGATGCCCATGATTTTGTCTGAATTTCTTTTCACAGCATTCTTCACTCATTCACCCAGGGTGCCAATAATTTTGACCACAGCTGTACAAAGCAGGCAGTGGGATGTTTGTGGTAAATCTCTGCCCTCTAATGGACACTCACAAATGAAAATGTAATCATTCATTCATTTTCTTGTCGGCTTGGTCCCTTTATTAATTTGGGGTCTCCACAGCAGAATGAACCGCCAACTTATCCAGCATATGTTTTACACCCTTCCAGCCGCAACCCATCACTGGGAAACATCCATAAACACTCATTCACTACTAACAATTTATAATAAGTTATACAGTTTAAAAGCAATGCTAAAAAAATACCAAGGACATGTGTGTAAACTATTGACTGTCTAGAAATTAACAAACAATTCTCAAAAATATTAATTCTGGCATTATTCTGGCATTTAGGCAGTAGGTAGTGCTGTCGCCTCACAGCAAAAAGGTCGCTGGGTCACTGGTTCGAACCTCGGCTCAGTTGGCGTTTCTGTGTGGAGTTTGCATGTTCTCCCTGCCTTCGCGTTGGTTTTCTCCGGGTGCTCTGGTTTCCCCCACAGTCCAAAGACATGCGGTACAGGTGAATTGGATAGGTTAAATTGTCCGTAGTGTATGAGGGTGTGTGTGGATGTTTCCCAGAGATGGGTTGCGGCTGGAAGGTCATCCGCTGCGTAAAAAACTTGCTGGATAAGTTGGCGGTTCATTCCGCTGTGGCGACCCCGGATTAATAAAGGGACTAAGCTGACAAGAAAATGAAGGAATGAATGGATTCTTGCATTCAGCAAATGTAAATCATGTAGGTAATCCTAACGGACCTAAAATAGTAAACACTTAGTATGATTTACCATCAGACATTTAAAAAAATCGTTTTGTTCCTTTATTTTAGAGCGTGTGTAAACTTCTGCTTTCGACTGTATCTGACAGGATTTGGCGCGCTTCATTCCCTTCCTGGTTCCCGCGTCATCGTGACGTCAGTTCCTCGCTCTGAGTCTGAACTTCAGCATAGATTGCGCTTATCAATAACAGCTCATCTTCAACTTTTGTAACGCGGCGCAGTGTTCCAGCGTTCCCCGTGTAGATTACCGCAGCTCCGTGCTCTCTGGTAAAGCAGCTTTCTGCTTGTGTGTGCAGTGTGTAAAGTGCGCTGTGCTGACAGCAGTGTGTGTGTTTGTGTTATTGTTTCTGAATTCTGCTTCTGATTGTGTGCAGTTGTGATGGCTGTGGACTGGCTGGGCTTCGCTTATGCTGCTGCTCTGGTCTTCGGAGGATTTGTGGGATATAAAAGAAAAGGTATGGAGGGATTTTGTTCTGCACATGTTAAGCTATAGGAGGACACATTTTTTTAAATAAGAGTATAAATATATGTCAAAATGATATTTAATTTTGGCCCTGTTGTTGTTGCTTCTGGTGCCCATGTCACATTTATATTATTTAATAAGCTTAATAGACATTATGACGTTTAATTTTATACATTTGACAATTATATTCAAGTGTTTCACATATATGTCATCTTCCATATGGGTAACGTGTGCAGCTTATAAAACCACATTTATTTGTTTATAAATATAATTCAGGTTTATTTGTACAGCTCTTTTCATGATAACTATCCTTCCAAAGCAGCTTTACTGAACATCCATGTCATTACAGTACAGCAAATATCAGTAAGAGTTAGGCTGGTACAAATCTAACTGTTAATAAGTTGCATTAGTATAAGCTCACTATTGACTGTTCTGCACTCTTCAACTTACAATTATACAATATTAACATTGTATTGTGTTTTGAACATGATGCCATGCCCACATAAGAAAATACTGCAGTGATCTTTGGTAATATTATTGTGTTTTTGAACAGCACTGTAGTAAAGTATATTGTACAGTATAATAAACTCATACATACTGTAGTATACTTTGGTTTTTACTACAGTAAACTGTGGTGTATTGTAGTGTAATATACCCTAGAGTTGTTGAAAACTACAGTATTTGGTTGTTTGTTTATATTACTATAGTTATTGTGTTACCATAGCAACTGTAGAATCACCACAACACATCAATTGCTGTTGTTGTGTTACTATAGCAACTGTAGAATCGCCACAACACATCAATTACTGTTGTTGTGTTACTATAGCAACTGTAGAATCACCACAACACATCAATTAATGTTGTTGTTACCATAGCAACTGTAGAATCACCACAACACATCAATTACTGTGGTTGTTGTTGTTGTTACCATGGTTACTGTAGAATCACCACAACATATCAATTACTGTTGTTATTATTGTTACCATAGCAACTGTAAAATCACCACAACACATCAATTACTGTTGTTGTTACCTTAGTTACTGTAGAATCACCTCAACATATCAATTACTGTTATTATTGTTACCATAGCAACTGTAGAATCACCACAAGACATCAATTACTGTTGTTGTTGTTGTTACCACAGTTACTGTAGAATCACCACAACACATCAATTATTGTTGTTGTTACCTTAGTTACTGTAGAATCACCTCAACATATCAATTACTGTTGTTATTATTGTTACCATAGCAACTGTAGAATCACCACAACAATTAAATTACTGTTGTTGTTACCATAGCAACTGTAGAATCACAGCAACACATCAATTACTGTGGTTGTTGTTACCATAGCGACTGTATAATCACCTCAACATATCAATTACTGTTGTTATTGTTACCATAGCAACTGTAAAATCACCACAAGACATCAATTACTGTTGTTGTTACCATAGCGACTGTAGAATCACCACAACACATCAATTAATCTTGTTACCATAGCGACTGTAGAATCACCTCAACATATCAATTACCGTTGTTGTTGTTACCATAGCAACTGTTGAATCACCACAAGATTAATTCAAGTACTTAACTATACTATGGTTCAAAGACTTGGATTGTGTGTGTGTGTGTGTATGTGTGTGTTTCTAAGGGAATGGTTAGGTGTTAACAGTTGAGTGCTGTTGTCTTCTTCAGGCAGTGTGGTGTCGTTAATCGCCGGCCTCTTCTTTGGAACCGCGTCTGCTTATGGAGCTCTGCGAATAACACTGGATCCTCAGAATTACGGGATCTCTCTGCGTAAGAACCCGCCTTCATTCATGTTGTATATTCACAGTAAATAAGATACGGTTTTAGGTTTTATTTCCGCCTGTTACTGTAGTCTCCGCTGGTGTTCTGGCCGCTGTAATGGGGATGAGATTCAGGAAGTCTGGAAAGTTGATGCCCGCAGGGATCATGGCAGGACTGAGGTAAACGTTCATCTCACCC